CTTCCCTGCGGTCTCCCGGGGGAAGAGAGACCTTGGGCTGGCTCTGAATATGTTCATTTTGAGCGTATTTCAGACCTCAGTACGGGTGCCTTAGGAGGATAAGTTATTCTGAGTTAAAAGCTTGTGCCTTCCTTTTGTAGCAATGCACATAAGGGGTATGCTGTAAACTAGTCATCTGAGAAATTGCTCCTCCGTACCCCAAAGGAACCGCCTTCAGGATCTGACTAACTCTGGATGCACCCACTTGTCATAATTTCTCCTTTAGTTTGTTTTTTTAAAAATAGGCAATGTTTGTTTTTGTTTCTTAAGATTTTGATCCTGAAACTTTCTGTTTTCTTATACTTAAGTTTATAATGCTGCAAAAGTGATTTTTTTTTTTTTTTTGCTACTGTAGCAATCAGTTTGTGGAGTTTACTGGCTGGTTCCCGAAACGGTTTGTTGTGGTGTCTTGTGCTCAGAAATTGAGCTCTGGGCCCCTACTTTCAAAATACAAAATTCTGTTATTTGACTGTTTAAAAACAAAAAAAAAAGAGAGAGAGAGCTATTCTGTGGATAGGTGATTTTTGAAGCAAAATTGGAACTACTGCTGTGGCATGCAGTTGAATTGGACACACATTAAAAATGATCAAGCTGAACAGATAGGCTAGATTTGTTGCTGGATGTCCCAGTATTTCAGGAAGAAAGTTAGCCTAGAGAAAACTTCCTCTTCCTGTCTCCTCTCATCTAAAATGGCACCTTCCAAAAGACTACTTCCAGGGGAAATTGACTCTTTTAATTTCAGTGAGGAAGATGAATAGTCGTTATTCCCATAGAAAGTTGCTGCCAGGTCCTGGCACTGATTTCAGACATAGAAAAAGGAGGAGTGCATGTTTTTCCAGTATGCCAGTCTGCCCTGAGAGCAACTGCAACAGCTTCATCAGTGCCCTTCATTTGGAATTTGTTTCCAGTGTCTGTTCTGACACCAAGGAGGAAAAGTTTGTGGTGGATGGAGGGAAAGGTAGAGGAGAGCCACCTACTAATATAGGAAAGAAGGGGTTATGGACTAAGGGAAAGCCACTACATTTAAAAAAAAAAAAAATGTACCATCTAAAAATTTGTTAAGGATTTGGGACCTGCAGGTACTGCTACAGCTGCATGTGCTGCAGCTGCAGAGGTCTTGCCTGTTGCTGCTGAACAAGATGGAGAGAGCTTCTTTACAGAGTGCAGTATGCTAAAGCACGTACTGTTGCCTAGAAGAAGAGCGAAGATTTCCATTGTGTGGAACTTCTTCCATATTGATCCTTCGTTTACCTGGTATGCCATCCTGAGCATGTGTTTAAGGAGAAAAAAAAAAAAAAAAAAAAAGAACAAAAAGGCATTGACCATGACAAGCCAGGTACTCGCCTGGGGACATTGATTCCTCAGTGACACCCCCAAGTCAAGCATTCTGCACGTCGGACCATGGCTAACAAAATAAGTGTTACAGCTGGAAGCACTGTAAGGGAGGATAAATATGCCTTTAGCATGTCTGCGTCGTCCATCTGCCCAGATAGCAGTTGTAGCAGTGGGAGTTTGATATCTGTTCCCAGCCCTTCTGCAGAAATGATATGGAAAAGCCAGTGGACTGTTTTTTCAACTCAAAGAGAAGAAGGAATGGACTGCAACTACGCCCAGGTAAACCGGAGCTGTCAAAAAGATTTGCCAAAGATGTGGGTTGTGCCAGTGCAATTACAGCAGCCGTTGCAGCTGCAGCAATAGTAGTTCCTGGAGCATCTGGAGAAAATAGAGGGAATTCTCTTTGTAAAAGCAGTACTGTCAAAAGCATTTTGATGCCAGAAATCAGGATAAAGACATCTGCTGCCTGGATCTTCTTCTCTGTCGATGCTCAGTATAGCTGGCAGGTTCTTTGTGATGTCTGCAATGTATGAAAAAGTTATGTCAGTCGAGGCGGGCCAGGGGCTCGCTGTGGCACTTCCGTGCTGCAGCACCACTTGCAGGTCATGCACCCTATACACTGGGTCAGGAGCTAAATCTAATGGTAATGGTGAAGGTCAGGAAGCGCTTGTGGATTCTTCTACTGTTCCGCATGAATTCTTGAACTGTAAAAGAGACATGTTGGGCTATTTCTTTTCAAGGGATAAGCTTACAGTGAGTTCTGGTTTAACCTCTCCAGGCTGGGATGTTCCTACTTTGTCTGCTGAGCTGAGGCTTGGTAAGAGAAAGGCCATAAATGTTAACTGTGGGACTCAAAGAAACTCTCAACTAAATATTGCTGTGAAGAAACTCGGTTCAGAGAATGCAGTTACATGATGGACAAATGGAGGTATTACAAAATCGGTTATTGAAGATGCTTTTTTTTTTTTCCAACACCAACTTTTCAGAAGTTAATACAGATTGTGGCACTAAGCAATCAGTTGCCTTCTAGGACATACTTTTCCACAAAAGTGATTGTGGAAGGTTTTGGAGAAAGCAGAATGCATAAAAATGCATTTGGCAATTGATTATATGGACTTGTGAACCCACCACAGGCTACCCGACAGTGATGGCCCGTTGGGTATCTTTTGATACGCTGCCTTCCTCTGACTGCTGCAGCAGAAGTCCCCTTTTAGAAAACAGGCCGCTCGCTCTAACTGGCTTCGCTAAAAATTCTACAAGCAGCGAGTGTCCCACAAGAAGTGAATTACCAAATTGGTGTGTGGCTTTTCCCAATTCCCTCACCCCTTGCTTTGTAGCTTTGGACAATATTGTGACGACAGCTGGCACTGTTGTCAGTGTCATGTTTTACATATGTTTTAGATTTAGTGATTTAAACTTCCTCTGAGAGCACAAGAGCACTGATAAGGTCTTAACAGTTACTTAAGAGACTTGCTATCACCTTGCTCGTTCTGCTAAGGCCCATCAAATTCTGCAGGAATTCCAGCATGCAAGCCATCTTCCACAGGATCTCTTGGAGCAGGAAATAGCCGCTCAGTGGAGGTACCTTTTATGTGTTAAAGCAACTTCAGAACAGCAGAAGGCAGAGCACAACTACTGTGTGCAGCCTCCTCCTGGGAGGGTGGATGGGACTATTCTCAACTCATTCCAGAGGTCCCTGATGTCACATGGGTGTGACGTTCTTGAGCCATTTGTTTGCGGAGACCACTCTGGAACTGCACACGTGCACTGCAGGTCTTGCTCAAGTGCTGCTGTCCTCGATTCACCTCCTCCTCCTGACTTTGCAGAGTGTGTGGAGCGACTCAAATCAAAGGTGCCCCCTGTAGCTCTTGGACTGGGAGATGATTTGTCTTAGTCTTGAAACCGATTCTCTGCCGAGTTGCGTGCTCAGATCTGAACGCTTCACCTTGGCCACCTTATTAGATCCTGGCTTTAAAGGTAGTTTTGAAGAATTTCTTCTTCTAGGTTTTGAAGTGTTAAGCTATAGAGAAATCTGTATTAAATGAGTGTCTGATCAGATGTCTGCTTCAGTACAGGGTTGTGCTTTGAGAATTGCAGAAGCACTAGGCCAGTCAGCCCTTTCAGGAAAGAGACCGATTTGCCTCTCGTCTTAAGGGAGATTGTCCTAGTTCAGGTACCTTAAAGTGGCTCATCTTCAGAGTTGTTCCAGGCAGCAAGAGGCTGTTGTGGCGCTTGGCTGTGGCAACAGTAGAATTCTCAGAGGTCACAATAAAAGGTGAGCCCTGACTTGCTGGCGAAGGAGGCTGGGACCTGCGTTCACTCAAGCTGCCGTTCTTGGCTGGCAGCCTTGCAGTCTTTGCTCTGAGTGGGTGGTGAGTGCTGTGTTGTCCCCTGTCCCTCCCCGCCCTCTCCAGTTTCTGAACGAGCACCTAGTCTAGGTTTAGATACTATAGAACAGCTAGAACTCATTAAAACAAATGTAAAGAGTATTAATGATGACTATTCTACTCTTGGCTTTAGACTTTGATACAGAGGATGAGAGCCCTTATAGTAGGGAGGAGGTATTAGCAAGAGGTTCTTCTGTGCTTCAGATCATGTGAAGTACACTGAACAGGTATGGTGTCTGCAGGCACCATGTGCACTCTTTCTTACGTAATTTTTAACACCTAGTGCACATTGCACTTTCAGCTGTGGAGTGCTATAACAAGTGGGTGAATCAGCAGTGGCTCTGTTTTGCAGCTGAGGTAACACTGATGGATTGAAAAGTGGGATTAGAACCTGCAGTTTTTGGTGCTCTTCCTTCCTTGTCTTTTGACTGTCAACTTGTAGTGTCCTTATAAACAGGGATGTTAAACTTGTTTACTGTTTTATAATAAATTAAAGGCATGCAAAAAGAGACCAGGAACAGAGACTGTCAAAGTGAAGTAGTTTGTGCTTTATGATCAAAAAATACCTGTAGGTAAATGCCTAGTTAATAAGCACAATACTACAAGTATTGAATAATCCTTCCTTCGTGCATTTGTTGGAGTACAAAAAAAAAGTCATTCCCCTTTTGCTCTTCTGTAAATTCAATACAGAACAAATGCTGGTCACCAAGCTGGAAAGTTAAAATGAATTCAAAATGTTACGTGCAGCTCAATCTTAATAGAAAAACTTTACTGCAGTTTTGGAAGGACGGGGGGGAAAAAAAAGCCTTAACGTTCTTACCAGCTTCTGAGAGACTTGCTGAGTGCACCAGAGTTACTCATTTTTATTTAGGCTTTCAGGGGTTAGTTAAGTTGATTTCTGCTTAGCGCTCAGATTGCCAAGTTAACTGACCTCAGTTTTTAAAAAAAAAAAAAAAAAAAGAAGAAAGTTTTTGAGTTAACTTTTTTATATAATGAAAGGACTTTTTTGGAATTTATAGTGGTGAGTTTTTGTTTTGATTTTTTTGTTTCGTTTTGTTTTTAGTTTTGTTTTCTTGCCGTTCCTTAAACAAGATCCATTCAGATTCAAATTCTGAACAGCATTCAAAGTGTATTCAGGAATATGGAAGGCAGCAAGCAAAACACATTAGATTTAAGCAGCTGAGCTGCTTGGGCAATCAAAAGAGCTAAATCTGTAGGGGAATTTTTTTTTTTTTTCTCCACGGTGGCAGCGATGGATATAGTAACCCTGCGATACACAGGTGCTCCTCGCTCTTCCTAGGGAAAAGAAATGCCACCTTCTAGACTATGAATTCCCTCTGATTTGTATTTGAATACCTCTGCTCAGCGAAGCAGTGGTCCTTAATTGCCGTCTGTTTAAGTGTTGGTTTGTGCAAACTGAAGAATTTTCAGAATTTTCATGCTTGAAATTGCATTTAATTAACAATGGTATTGGTAACACATTTGGCAAAATGTTTCTTGTCAAACTTCCACGCCGAAGAGCACTAGTAATTTTTAGAAGATGCATAGGAATTTGTGCGACACAAAGTTTGGTTTTGAAGGTGCTAAAGGTTAAAAGTGAATAGTCATACCAGTACTGAAGATGGGAAGAAACCTTGCACTTAATTTCTGTTTTTATTCCCTTTGTCAAGCGATCAAAACTAATAACTAATGCAAGAACCCAACTTTTCCTCTCTTTATTTTAGATTTGGGAAAATTCCCTGCCAAAAAAAAAAAATCCTGGAAAATTCACTAGTGTTTGTGTGAGTAAAAGGCTCCAACCTTTTATTATTAATTTGTAAGAACTATTTCATTCAGTTTTGTCCAAAAGAGTCAGAAATATTTAGCACAGAAATGTGCAGCATTTTAGTGATAGGGATCAGAATCACTTTAATTTGATTTTTATCTGGTCTGGTTGCAGGTTTTATAGCATTTATTATCTTTAAAAATTAAGAAACAAAATGTCTGACTTCACATCAAAAAGCTGTTTATAGCTAAATGGAATCAATTTCAGCTTCTGCGGCATCAAAAAAATCCTTGGCTGTTAAGAATTGGACCTGAGCCATCTTCTCAAACCTTTGATGATCTTGCAGCAATGGATAATGGTCGATATATGGATTAGGGAACGGCATGTGATGGCAAACTTGTAGTATTTGTTCTGATGTAAAAAAATATATATGAAAATATATATATATATACAAAAAATTCAAAATTCTTGGTCTCATGCAGCCATGCCACTTCGAAAGTGAGCATTTCCCCGCCTCTCAAAGCTTGCTGTATCCTTGATCTGCTGTCTTCTTGCTCTTAATTGATTGCAACTCTGCGTGTCTGAACAGGGCTAAAAGTATTGTTCTTGATGATATGGATATCATACAACATATACTGTGCACGCTTGTGTGTATAGGTATGTTTATACCGTATGCATGTACCTACGTATGCATATTTGTGTGCTGGCCCCAAAATCACTCATGTTATAAAGCATCAGCCTTGAAGGCGCATTCATCAAAATATAAAGTAAAACTTTCATTTTTGCCAGTTCCCTCAAAACGAGACACTTTTTATGCACCCTACATGGCCAGTAGCCAAAATGTCTAATTTTTGTTATCGCTCTTGCTGATTTTATTATCACTCACTGTCGGCGTGTGTATAAACACATATGTGTATATGTATATACATATTTGTGTACTTATACACGCAAGAATGTTTTTGCTATGCAGGTAATAAAGATGGGGGAAGGTTTTTGTGTTTTCTTAATAGGTGAAGAAATCTTGAAGACCAGAAATTGGAACTTACTGAATTTTAAATTTAAAAATATATATATATTAAAATTGTCCGGCTGTGGAAGATGGACCTTCATTTTTGCAGCCACTTTGAATCACAAGTTCATCCTTAAATGCACTGGGTTTTTTTTTGGTTTTTTGTTTTTTGGTTTTTTGAAGAGCTAACTAACCCTGGCTGTCTCCAGTCTGACAGAGTATTCAAATGGACTTGCTTCCTCCATTAGTTGTAAGATGTTTAAAAGCACATCCTATGTTTGAATTGTGGATGAGAGGTTCCCTTGGCAATGTGAGGAGGAAAATTCTTTCTACCCCTTTATTATTAATTCACGGATTCAGTGTTGGTTCGGCCTACAGGAGAAGTTAACTGGAAGTCTTTGAAGATCAGTACCTTTGCTGAGATTGTCCAGGTACGTGCACTTGAAGGTCCATGGTGATTGGAAAATAATGTTTTATATGTCAAATTGCGTTTTGTAGAAATCGTTTAGTACCCGTAGTTAATCACTGACTGATGACTCAAATGTATGATGATTTTTTAAGAAGTAGCTCTAGTATTGTGCTTAGAGCTACATGCAGCAGTTTTTCCTGTGCTCTGAGGCATGTAGATTTTGCTAAGGATGTAGAAGAGAACACAAATGACAAATCCATGCAGTTTTACGTAAACTTGATTTAGTACGGGGATGATTTTGTACTCGGCTAGTTTCAAGAGGTTGCACCCCTCATGAGACTAATTGGATTAACAAAAAAAAGCTGGAAAAATGCTTATTACTTTATAATTGGATTTTTATTCACTTGTTGATACTTTTTCAGGGTTACTTTTAAAAGAAGATTTCACTGAACAAGCCTGTAGAAGACTTTCAGCCCAAGAAAGAGCGAAGCCAGCTCTTGTCAAGAGTGCAAGAGGTCCCTGTGGAGAGGCGACACTGATAACCTGAGCTGCTTCTAGGAATTTGTTCAGCATGTCTAACCAAGGAGACGATTGCTATTTCTATTTCTATTCGACGTGTAACAAGGTATGACTGGATGAGGTTTTTATTTTAAATTTTTTAAATTATTTTTAGCTTGGGTGAGGGGAGTCTAGAGGGAGACGTACTGATCTCTGGTAACTTAATAACCAGATTCTAGATTCTACTTCGTAACTTAATAACCAGATTCTAGATTCTACTTCACATTCTAAAAACCTTTCCTAATAGCATGAGCATTTATTCAGGCTGTACTATTTTATTTTCTTTATTGTTCGTTTCCTTTTGGTTACAGGGAGACAGCTGTCCCTTCCGCCACTGTGAAGCTGCTCTGGGGAATGAAACGGTCTGCACGCTCTGGCAGGAGGGTCGGTGTTTTAGGAATGTCTGCAGATTCAGACACATGGAAATTGATGTAAGTGTTTGCCCAAAGATATATTTTCAAGATAAATCAGTAAAAGTATTTTTCATTGCTGTAAGTATAAGATAGATGTATTCGCTTTAAAATGAACTGGCCTGCACTACCGCAAGTGGAGCAGGAGGAAATTTGGGAGGGTAATTAATCTTTTAGATATATCTCAGCGTGAAAATTTTGTATTAGATACTGAAATCTGTTTTCTCAACAGATGCAAGAGTAGCCACATTGATCAGACTCATTAAAATTGCCTCTGAGAGCTAGGCTAGATAGTGGTCTGTCAGGTCTCTTCTGTCCCTGTAATCCTTCAGATAACGTTATTCTGATCGCTTTGTTTCTCTTTGGGTACTAGAAGGTGGGGAAAAAGGATGAGGAAGAGCTGAAGCTCTAGAAGATAAGCTGAGATAAATTTAACCTGGATTGTTTAAGGTGTTTTTTCCCTCTGAATAATCCTAGTATATGGCAAGGTGTACTAGTTTAACACACCTTGAGTTGATGTGTGAGGGTGCCTGTCTTCTCAAACTGAATAACAAGAAATATATGTAATAGTTACAGCTTATGCAAAGTTTGTATATATGCCCTGAAATACTTTAGTGATGAACGGACCTTTGACATGATGCCTCAGTGTTGCGTTATGATAAGTCCTCTCTGACATAATCTGGAACGATGCGGCTTTTTGCAGATGAGTGTTACTGTGAGGTTTTATTTCTTTCCGTCTTCAGAAAAAACGCAGTGAGATTCCTTGCTATTGGGAGAAACAGCCAGTTGGCTGTCAGAAATCCAACTGTGCTTTTCATCACGCCAAGGGACGTTATGTCGATGGACTCTTCTTGCCACCAAGCAAAAGTGAGTGGTGGTGGGGGGGTTGTTTTGTTGTAGCCTGCAGACTGAGTATGTACTCCTGGGATTTTGTTTGTTTGTTTTGTGTGTGTGTGTGGTGGTTTGTTTTGTTTTGTTTTTTGCTCAGCTTCTCTGTGCCTTGTGTGATCGTTGCCTTTCAGGTTACTTTCCCCTCATTTGGTCTTTTACTGGCTGGTAAGAAGGTGAGTTTTGTGTGTGAAGTGAAGCCATTGCTCACAGTATAAGCAGTGACAGAGTAGGGAATAGGAGAGCATAAATTCAGTAGCCAGCTGGGTAAATGTCTTCCCTTACCTGCCGCTTTTATGCAGTGAGTGCAACATTGGGGGTCAAAGTTTTATATGGCCAAATTACAGAAGATCCTATTCTTCCTGTAGCTACACTGCCAAGTCCACCTGAATCTGCAGAAGATGATGTGAAAGTGGCGCAGATCGCTCTGCAGCAGAATAAACTTTCTGTCCAGTCAAATCCCTCCCCACAGCTGAGGGGGGTAATGAAAGTGGAAAACTCTGAAAATGTCCCAAGTCCTACACATCCGCCAGTTGTAATCAATGCTGCAGATGATGATGAAGATGATGATGGTGAGCATACTTTAGTTCTTTAAGGCATTTGTACCATAAATGAATCTGTAAATCATGGAGTATCTGAAAACTGACTATTTATAAGGCAACCAGTCTGGTTAGACCACTGGTGGTCCATGGTTAGCAGTCTATGTCCAGAATTCATAATACAGGAGGAAAGTTCAGAAACGCTCTTGTTGCAGCTAGTCCGTTGTGTGATGCTGTACATCAGAAGAGGGAAACCCCCCTCCCTAATTTGTCTGAAGAATCTTGTCCAATCCAGAATGAAAGATTGTGTAGCGGTTGAAACTACCAATGAGAGTCAGGAGTCTTGATATTTTTGCTCAGTATAGCTCTATTCGTATAAGTTGATCTAGATGCTGTGGCTGGTTTTTTTAAAACAAAACAAAAACAACAACAACCCACAACTTTTAAAACCATATATTTGTGTTCTAATTAAGAATATGGACAGAACAGGAACCATGGACTGAAATATTCAGTGTATGAATGTATGAGCTACATAAACACAGGCAAGCTGATATTCTTGTCTAATCCCTACTGCTTAACTGATAGGTTTATTTTTTCCCCTTCAGATCAGCTTTCTGAAGAAGGAGATGAAACTAAAACACCTGTCCAGCAACCAGCTCCGGAAACCCATAATGGATTGCGGATAATTTCCACTAGGAAATCCAATGCTAATACAAAACAAGGTATTATAACACCGGGAGTAGGATGGATCCAAGGATGGCCATTTTTATAAATATGATGATCAGTATTTCCTGTGGGCTGTCCTGTCTGGCGAAAGCCTTAGAAGAATTGGTTAATCTTGTATGGAGATCATGGAGCTAGTGGTAACTTCTCTGCAGTCTGAAAAAAGCTTATTAGCTGTTGTTAGGCTGGAAGTTGAGCAGGAGGCTTTCAAACCGAAATGCCATTGTGGTTTCAAGATACCAAAACCGATTGTACTAAAGGTAACCTGTGTTCAAGAAACTGAAGCCTTAACATTGTAGGAATAACATTCAAGAGCATAAGAATAGCCAAAGAGCCTGGGTCTTTTGCTACAGGCTCTCAATCCAGCTTGCCTTACATGCCCTGGTATATAACGCAGTTTTACTTCCTGGTTTACCCTTTTCTCCCATTCGCCTTCCAAGTCTGTTTTTCTAAGACAAATGGAATATTATGTAGGCATGCTAATGGAGCTATTTTTCTTTGTGAAAACACCAAGGAAACCTTTCTTGTAGGGGAAAAAATCTTGTGTTTATGTATGTATCATCTTCTGGTAGCTGACGAAGAATTTGGCAATTAACTCAAAAACAATACGTTGTAAAAATACAATAGGACATGGGGGTGGTGAATGGACTCAGTTATTTCCTCGATGATCTTATTCCTACCTGATACCTTGTGTGTCCCCTGGCTCGGAAAGATATACTCTTTGTTTACCTGTGTAGAACAAAATGGGCCAACAGAGTGGAATTTTAATATGTGCAAATGTGTCCTGTCAAGCATTGTAGGAAATTCATATGTAATGATAGAGGAAACTAATATCGTATAGATGGATGAAACTACTGCTTAAAACTCTAGGTTTTACTCTAAAGGGTGGGAAGAAGGGAGAAGAAGGGGCCGATTGCTTAATGCTTCCATTAACTGTTTTGTGTTTTCAGATGAGAAGTTGAATTTTGGGATAAAAACACTTGAAGAAATTAAATTGAAAAAACTGAAGGAAAGATCAAAAAAACAAGGTGGTGAGTTAATATCCCCCCTCTCTTACTAACTCTTCTGCTTTCTGTTCATCTTTGTCCTTGTGTTTTTTTTTTTGTATTTGTTTTTCTTTTGATAATATCTGGATAGCTGATTATGCATTGATGAATACAATTACTTGTAAAAGCAAAGTTCTTTTGTTCTAATGGGTAGATTGTGACTAATAGCTGCTAATAGCTGATTGCGACTGGGAGCTGCTTGGGGGACAGACTTCCATGTTCCTTTAGTTGGGAACCTCAAAATCTTTTGGCATAAAACCTGTTTTCTTAAACTTGGAATTTCAAGCGCAGATCATGGCAGATTACTCGACATACCTTATTTACGTGCACTGGTCATTCTGTGTTAGGCAGTAATGGATACTTGATATCTTTTGGTCTTTATGATAATTATTTGGTGTTGTTCTTTCCCCCTCCTAAACATTCTTATGTTTCACTTGCTCCAATCAGAAGGCCCTTCAGGAGTTCCTGTTCATCCACTCCAATCTCAGACTATTCCTGTGCCGGAAAAGGAAAACGTACGGACAGTAGTCAGAACCGTGACACTATCTACAAAACAAGGTAATAAAGAATACTTTTGTTTCCAATTCAGTGGTTTCTAAAGCTAAAGGTTAAGTACGATTCAGTTGTGTTAGTCTGCTGGGGCTGCCTTTTTCTGTTAAAAAGATCATGGAAATAATAGTTTCTTCTGTTGCAATAGAAGATCAAGAAGTGTTTTTTTTATCAACCTGACATTAAGCCATAGCTAATCATGTACGATCACTATCCTACAAACTCTTGAACGTGTGCTTACCCTGACTTTTGTGTTCCTGAAGTCAGGTGGGACTTGTATATGAGCTAATATGTTGACAGCACATGAGAGAATTAGTATTTGGATGAAACGCAGTAGCAGCAGAGAAAGAGAAAATAAAGGCCAAACAATTGTCAGTGTGCAAATAGGGGATAGCTGAAAAGCAGGTGAGTAATGAGTGGAAAGAGCTATAGAAGATAATGTTATACAAGAAGCCAATTTATAAAGCATTAAAGAGGACAGCAGTAGTATTTGTGGACAGTGTTGTGATAAGAGTTTGTGATGTTATTCAGACGTGAATTCCTTTTAGAAGCAAAAAAGCGGAGAACTACTTTTACTCGTAGTCATTCACCTTAGGAAGGAATGCTTTTCGGAAAGTTTGTGCCTAGTATTTTGTTTGCTTATGACACTGTAACGTTTTCTCCTGCCCAAAGTACAGCTTTCATGTAAACTCTGGTTTATTGGTCTTCATCTTAGCAGGAGGTTGAAACAAGGACTCAGACTATTGGTATTTTTTTCTAAGTGTTTTTTACAGTTGAAATATTAGTTTGTGTGTCTCAAAACAGTGTCATCTTTTGCGATATAGCATTCTTGTAATATTTGGGTTTTTTTTTCGTTTTGTGTTTGTTTTTCAGAATAGGTGTATATATGGAGGCTAGCAGGTAATGCTTTAGTCGTTACTGTTTTTTGTGAACTAAAGACACTGTGCTTTGCTGTTTTAGGGGAGGAGCCTGTAATTCGATTGAGTCTTGCAGAGAGACTGGGAAAACGGAAAGCCTCCATTGGTAAGAACTTTTTGTGAGCTCTTGTTCGGATGGTTTTGTCTAAATTCAAGGGTATTCCTGAGGTGAGAGAGAAGAAAATACCTTTTGGCAGAGATGCCAAATTGTAGAAATGGCAAATTGCATAAGCAACTGGAAGGCAAATACCAGAAAATATATCTGGAAAAGTTGAAGTTTGTTGTTTACTGTTCTAAAATCCTCCTCTAGAGGATTTTAGGTTCTTAAAGTATTATTAAGGTTCTTAAAGTATTTCCTGTTTTCTCTCTGTCTGCAGCTGATGAAAGTGGCCTTCCACTGAAACGCAGCCTTGCTGAAAGGCTGGGGAAGAAGATAGAGAGTTTGGAAAATGCTGACAAAGCACCAAAGAGAGGTACAGCTACTAAAGAGACACCTGGATTTGGTACACAGGTCTTCAGTTTAGGCTTTCCGTGTCTCCTTTCCTCTCCCGTTTCTCTGTGCCTGTTGGTTGGAGGTCACTTTGAATCCCAGCGATCTTCTGTCTGCTTTTGAAATGTGAGCATAAAGTTGGGATTTATGCAGCCCACCTAATTTTATCTGTTCTCTCTTGCAGTTCAAGTCCCCAGGTCTCTGAAGGAGAGGCTAGGATTGCCTTCTGAACAGACCAGTACAGAGACAGGTAATAATTGGTTGTTACATTGCCTTCCCTTTCCATGAACCTACACTACTTCCACACAGACTTAAAAGTTAGTTTTAAAAAATGCCTGATGCCTCTTGCTTGAGTGTTAAAGCTCTTCTGATGGCTGCTGTCAGAGATGTGGTTCTTGATGCATGTTTCTTTTCCACTTGTGCCTCGGCAAGGTTTCATGTTCCTGCTCTGAACCATGAGCAGCTGAAGTATGCCTAGGCCCAAGTGGAACAGAATCACTGCCAAGAGCAAGAGTTAGAGATGTTAAGGGAAAGACCTAGTTTGGCAAGTAACAAAATGAAGTGGACTAGTGGGGTTTTGTTTGTTTTTGTAGCAACTGTCTCTGGATAGGGTTGGTCTTCAAAACGCTTCAAGGGGCTCGAAGGGAAAGGAGAATGTAATACAGAGCATGATACTGCCCTAGGGTGCGTTTGCTGGCATCACTCAAAATTAGCTTGCCTTAGTACTGTGACAAATTTTGGAGACTCAGAGTGTTGTTGAACTCTCTTAAGTGTTGATGCTTCTCTGTCTTTCTCTCTTTCTCTCTCTTTTTTTTTTTTCTTTCTTTTTAAATGATGATGATGACAGAGAAAGCTGCCAAGCCGACAGGAGAGATCCATGTGAAAACTCTGGAGGAAATCCGTCTCGAGAGAGCTAATCAGCGACGAGGAGAATCTCAAGCTAAAGCACAGACTGAAGGGCCTTGTAGAACAGAAGATACCAGCCCAGGGGCAAGACCTTCCTCTGCAATTCGCATCAAAACTTTTTCAGAGGCCCTAGCTGAAAAAAAACACAAACGATTGGAAGAAGAGAAGCAAAAAGCAGAGGAAATCCCTATCAAGGCAAAGGTTGAGGGTGATTCCAAGAAGCAGAACATACTAGCTCCGTCTGTGCCTAGCAAAGTGCAGCTAGAGGAGCCCACAGGTAAAGCCAAGCCAGCAGGGGAAGTGCGTATTAAAACCTTGGAAGAAATCAAGCAGGAGAAAGCTCTGCGGATGCAGCAGAGTGGAGAAAACGTTCCAGCTCCACCAACCCAACCTGAACCTGCCCCCGCAGGGAGGAGATTGTTACGGATCACAAAGCTAATAGGTAATGAAATGCTGCAGCACTTGCCCTGATGAGGTGCTTCCCCTGTCGAGCAAACTTGATTTGTTCAGGATTTGCTTTGCTTTTTTCTTCTATGAACGTTAGAAGTTAAAAGAGTTAAAGACAATGAAGTGCCAGAATGTGCAACCCTACTCGCTTCCTTCACGCGCATTCAGAGTAGCTGTTAATTACACAATGATTTACTATATTTCCCACTGGAAAATTCATTCATGGAGAGGCTCTGTAGCTTAATTTCTCTTTTCTGCTTTTTTTGCTATCTCTTGGTGGTACGAGACCTTCCCTATGTTGAATCCAAGTTTACTTTCCTCTTGGGCGTTATCTGTGTTGTTTAGCCTAGATAGTGATATACCTGTGTTTGTGAAGCATGTCTAAACCTCTTAATTTGAGGGCCAGTTTCTGTCAAAAATCAGATCTTCGGAGCATTAACGATCTCATCATTAAGATCTTATAAGCTTCCTCAAAAGAGGTTGCGTGATTGAGAAAGCCCAATTGCTGCATTTGTTGAGCACGTGCTGTCGCCTTTCCCTCAATCTCGTTATTAGACATGAGAAGATTACCACACCAAGGAAGCGAAAGTAAACAGGTTCCTTTATTTCTGCTTTTGAAAATGATTTTTGTTTGTTTTAAAGCACCTGGAAGAGAAGAGAAGAAGATAGTGGAAGTGAGCAAGCCTTCTCCCAAAGCTGTCCCTGTGCCTCCAGAGGTGAGTCTTTTGTGAATACGTATCTGTGTGTTTGTATGTGTGTGTGTAATGTATATAGTCATACAACTCCTGGTAAGTTTTGTCCTGTCATGTTGGTCTGTAACTTGCTGTGGGTTTCTAGCTCAAGTGTGTTCCTACCTTTTCCCATTTGCTAAGTGCTGCAATGAAGTCTAAATCCTGTCATTTCCAATAGCATTTCTAGACAACATTGTAATCCTCAAACTTTGAATTAATGCTTATACGTGACAATGAATAAGAAACCCTATTAGCACGAGATTTAATCTACCAGGTTAATGTGGAGAGAATGTTTTTGTTCTCAGTGACTTAGTCTGTCAGACACAAAGGGTTTTTTTTTTTTTTTTTTTTTTTAAGTATTTCAATAGGAAAAGGTAGAGCTTTGTATTAGAGGTAATCAGTCTGTCAGTGAGTGCTGTATTAGACGCTTGCATGACTGTTGCTTAACAAGAATGGAATAGATTACAGCTAGAGTCTTTTGCTTTATTGAAGAAGCTTGTCATGCTGGGAATTGCGGGCATGTGAAACGGTATTTCTATAGCAAAGCATAGGTTTTGTCATAGGCTAAGTTTTATGAAAAACCCGTTAATGATCTGAATTATACTAATGTACTCTCTTCCACATGGAGCCCTTCGCAGAGGGACTGCCTATCAGATTTTCTTAATGAAATCTCCATAGATTTTTTTTGTCCATTTGCTCTTTTTTTTCCCCCTGCACAGCCCTCTGATCAGAGCACAACTAATTCTAAAGTTCAGGTGAAGAGCCTTGAAGAGATAATGAGGGAGAAGCGGCAACTGAAACAATACCAAGAGGAGAAACTTCAGAAGGAAGCAGCTGTTGTGCCCTCCACTGTGGAAAAAGCAACCAAAAGCCCAGCGTCTGGGAGTCCTGAATCCACTGTGGTATCAGGGCCGACTTGTCAGGTTGCAAAGAGGTTATTGGTGAAATCTCAGGAAGATGGGATTGAAAGCCCAGGAAAGGACGCTGCTGTACCACCAGGGAAACAGGCAGCTCAATCTCTGGAACGGAAAGCTAAAAGTAAGTGTTGACTAGAAGATAACAGAGTTACTTAGGGCTGCCTCTCCAAAGAAAGGCAGAAAATGACAGTTTTTGTAATTGTGGCTGTGTACGTATTATCACTTAAAGCACTACAAAATGAAGCATATATTTAACTTTTTAGTTCACTTCTATTCCTACCAGCCTGCCTTAGATCAGCAATGGGAGACTAGAAAATGATAATGCAAATAGGACTGAGACCCACTGTAGAATAGCTTAATAAATTCTGTGGGTCGTGACTGCAAGAGAAAGGGGAGCTTATACGGCAGTAGCATACTATCTCGTGTCTTATCGTAGCTGCTACTTTTTCTAGAGAAATCAAGGCTCTTTAAATACAGAAATTGTTTCTATTTGTGAACTTTCTTAGACTCCATACTGTGCTTTAGAAAAAGTACTACTTTCACTTAAGATTGCCCTGTGTTTGAGTTTTCCTTGTCCTGGTCTATTATTTAGTGTTGCTGTTGAGTTTCTTTGCTCCTCTTTATGGATTGTGAGTAAACAGTTCTCTGTATATCAAATGTTACTGAGAGTCTGGGAAATAGCAGTGCAGTTCTGCTGCCAAATATATTTTAATGAACTGAGGAAGGATTATGGGAACGTTAAGAGAACCTGGATTTTTCTTGTGGCAGAGCAAGACTATATCAGTTCTCTTTTCCTTTTGTTCTAGCCAAATCTAAGGCGAGCATGAAGCCATCGGATGGGAAAGCCACCTCCCCTACAAAGCAGGCCCTGAAACGTAGGGCAGCTGAGAGTCATCCCTCTGCTGTGGCAGCTGTGAAACCATTGAGCAGCACTGGTGGTGGTGACATGAAGGAGCCTCCAGCTAAAAAAGCAACTGTGGTAAGGACGCTAGCTGAGACAGTTGCTGGTCCCTAGTAAAATTTATGCTTCAGTTTTACCCTCCTCTTGGACAAAAGTTGGAAAAATGGAAAACGGGTGTTCTGTATGTCTTTTGTTCCCTCTTAGGTCCAGTAACGATCTGCAGGGTGGTTGTTGTACCTCTTTATTTTTTATTAGAGGCATGACAGTGTTTTCATAATACTCTAGTATGATTTCTATGTGGTGTTTTCCATTAATGCTGCGCTCTTAAAAAATACGAGGTCGTTGGAAAGCTTGAAGTTAATATCAACTTTTCTCAGGAAAGCCCTGGCTCTGGATTTTGGTTAAGGCTCAGCAATGCCAGAGGAGAAGCAGTGTGGAAGAAGCATCTGCTAAGAAATCATTTACTTGTGTGTCATAAACACTGTCTTGTTTCTTCCCAGGCTGTTGTTCCAGCCCTGCCAGAGGATAACTTGGTCACTATACCTGAAAGAGAAAAACCCAAAGACAGGTGACAACCAAAACTTGTTCTTTTTCTGGGTCACTGTGGCTTTCACTTGAAACATACGTTCTTTCACATGTGGAAAAATTAGAGTTTTGAGATGATTAATGCCAAAATCAAATGAAGAACGCTGCTAGGACAAATCATATGAATGCGTTTTCCAGCAGCGGGAAGGAATTGTTATTTAGACGCTTCCCTTTAAAGTGCTGCCAGTTGATAGTGTCTTCTTGGGTTATCTGAAAACTTGAATGAAGATGAGATGAAGTTGGAGATGGGTCGGGATGGAGGAAGACCTCTTTCTTTGCAATGGCATTCTCTAGAACCAAACATACATCTGGGCAAAGACTGTTGGAAGAGGAGAGAGAGATGGTATATGAGGATCAACTTCCTGTATTTGGGAACAAAGTCTGCAGAGCATGTCATGGGAAAAATAACTAAAATAGTAAACAGGTATTTGCAGAGGTTGACTCCTTGACCTCTTAACAGTCAAATTAGTAAATGTGGCACAGTGTCTCTGGCTACAAAAATTGAACCGTCTTTGCCAGATCTCCAGCTGTTCTGTTTTCACAGACGAATCCTCAAACTGAAAATGTATCTGCTAATATTAGTGTATGAGAACCTAAAGTAGCCCCAGCTTGATTGAATAATGATCCCTGTGTAAAGTGTAGGAGGGATTAGCTGCAGTTTTAAGAGCTAGTTGGCAGAAAATGCATCTCTAGTTAAGGAATATCACATACTGATTGTTCTCTTTCTTGTTCTCCCAAGTGCTGAACTGCATATTGTAAGCCAGGCAGATTCTGTGGCACAGTCAGAGGTCTCAAGCTCAACTTCTTCACAAGCAGTGGTAAAGACGCGCCGGTTAAGCTCCACAGGGGCTGGGAAAGCACCTTTATCTGTAGAAGATGACTTTGAGAAGCTTATTTGGGAAATCTCAGGAGGCAAACTAGAAGCAGAAATTGATCTGGACCCAGGGAAAGATGAGGATGACCTCCTTCTTGAACTTTCTGAGATGATTGACAGCTGAACTGCATATTCTTCTGTTTCAAAAAAAAAAAATTAAAACTGTATATTTTGTTGGATACCCTGAGATGATCCTTTTTCTAGCTGAGGCTTTGCAATGAGTCTTAAAGCACAGTTGAACTGGTAGAAATTGGCAATATCTGCACTCAGTTGTCCTAGATTTCCCTGCTGGTCAGAGTTCAAGTCCTGCGCATCCGTTCTGTTACTATTGGTGGCTACCTTCAATATTAAGAGGACAAAGCACTTCTTTATTTCAGACCAGAAAGATGCCCATCTGCAAGCTGTGGTGGTTGTGAATTGATCTACTGAGTCAGTGATGCTCTGAAGGCTTAAACTTAAAGCTTCTTTCCCTGCCTCCCCTGCCCTTGGCAAAACACAACGTTGGGTGTATTTCAAGGTTTTTGCATTCTGATTTCTTGGACAGTTGATGCTAAAGCTTGGAGTTACTATGTCAACTCTTGATTTCTATTTATGTATGCTATCATTTTGACTTTACTCTTTTAGGGCAAATTAATGAAAACGAAGGGGTGGGAGGGAGCAGAATGATTACTTCTTGCATTTTGGACCAAACATGCTGCCAAGGGTGGTGGTTGGAGTCAGTCCATCCAGCCTTACTTCTCCTCGATTATCAGGGATAACACAATGTCAGTGTGAAAAGCAGCAGCTATACAGTACAGCTAGAATACCCTCCCCCCCTTTCATTGTACTGTATCAAAGCTTGGGGGTTTTGGTGCTTTTTGCTGAAGTGAATAGGATTCTGGGTTGAGAAGTCAGGATTCCTCTTATAGTCTGCAGTAAATTGGTAAATGAAGAATTGGTTTAAGTGCCTCTTGGTTCCAGGAATCACTCCCCTGAGTTGCTGGCTCTTCTGCTGGGAAGTGACAGCTGCTAGGGCTAACATTAAAACACTGACTGTCAGCTTTATTTGAACTCCTGTTGGCCATGTGGCATCTGTCTGATCGGGTGGTCATTTGTGGCATTGAACCAACAGGAGGCCGGTGCCCAGACAAGCAATCTTGGTACTTGGTACTGCTGCAGGACTGACTGTGCTCTCCTTTTTAGGCATGTCCTGGGGCTCCCTTCCTTTCATCTCCTCTATACCCCCAACGCACCTTTGAGGCTTGAGCTCCATGTAGAAGTACGCATTGGAGTCGGGACGGGAGGTTACTGGCCATCTGAATGCGCAGTCTGAAATTGCGACCCTGCAGAAAATAGCTGAGACTGGGGTCTATTGTGTACCCTGCCACCAGTGATCATTTTCCCTAGCAGATATATTTTTTAATTATTTTCTTAAATTTCTGGAGAACTTTAGTCTCTTCCTGTTATGATTTGTGAAGCTGTAGGGGCCCTCAGGCGTTTGCTGCTGGCAGAGGAAAATCAGCTGTTTAGCTTATTGTAAATATTTTTCTCTTTGGAAGAAAACACTTGTGTGCTTTGATAATCCACTGTGATGTCTTAGTTCCTAGAGGAAAAGTTTGAACCAAAATTAGCAAAGCCCTTTCTGAAGAAACTGCTGTTCTAGTTCCAGAAGGGTCACCAAGTTGGAAACTTCCTACAAAGTGGGCAGGACAGCGCTGCCCTTTATCCTGCTGA